TATTTAATTTTTTGAAGTAAAACCTGAAAGTCTCCCTCTCTCTCTACAAGGAGGGCAAATTCACCCTGTTAGCCCTCTCTCTCCTCCTCTCTTCTCTATGAAAAGGTGGGCTGGGTCACTATGCCACCCTTCTCTCTCTCTTGTTTTGAATGTAGTGTAAATTGAATAGAGAGAGTTACATTTTTGTATATTTTGAATGCAATATAAATTATACACGGAGAGAGTTACGTTTTTCTGACCAACACTCCAAAAAAACATTAAAGATCAGAGAGAGAGAGAGAATATTAAATGCAAAAAGAGTTGAATTGATCTTGAAAATTTCTAATTATGGGAATAATGTGAATCATATAACAAGAACTAGAATATGGGTTTAAAAACTATAAAATATGATACAAATTTAAAATATGGGTTCAATTCTAAAGGAACTTAACCACCCCCACCCTCTCTCCCTGCAAAAAAAAAAAAAAGCATAACGAGAACCATCACATTAATCCAATAACCCACATAGGAGAAATAAGATGAAGTTAGAAAACAACGACTAAAACTACAAAATTAAGAAAAAAAAAAAATGTAGAAGAACAAAGAAAAAAAAGAAAGAGATAAGAAAAAAAACAATCGAGGTTTAATGAGAATAAGTACCTTTTGGGAGGTGGAAAGGAGATCAACAACCAAGAAGGGGCGATCAATCGATAAAGTCAAGAGAGAAAATAAATCCAGATCCTCTCTCTCTTAAAATCAAGAGATAAAAAATCAAATCAAGATCCCTTGGGTGTATATTTATGTCTTGAAACCTCATCTTAATTGAGGGGAGAAAGAGTCCTAATTGGACCTAGAGATGAGAGAATTAAAATCTAATTTAAACCGTAATTCACTCCACATTAGAGAGAGCAAGACCTTTATGCACCTCTTTTGTTTTTAACCTTCTTTGGGCTCCTTTCTCTCTCCAAGCACCTCTCTCCTTTAAAATGAACAGTGTGCGCCTGTGGGAGTATAATCCTGTTATCCACATTCCCATGGCTAAAAAACAGTTGTCCAGAAATGTCCTTGATATTTACATTTTCTATCTCTTGTTTTTTACTTTTCATTTCATTTCTCTTCATTCTATTATCACCAGTAGCATGCACACGTATTGTAGGTGCTATTAAAATGTTATGAATGTAATGTTTCTTAATGATATTTTGTAAAGAAAATAAACTTACAAAATCTAAAATGAAAGCATAGGAGGGAAAAAAAATTAAACTAAATTCTAAAATAAAATAAAAGTAATAGTTTCTCATACATGTATGTAGGAAAAAACGAAAGAGAGATGAAAAAAAGCAATGAAATAATTCAAACAACGGTGATTGAAATACTATTTGATTGAATAGACATGAATTTAGTGAAATGAGTAAATTATTTTATGTGACGTGTTAACACATAAAATTTTAATATATCAAATTAAGTAACATGAAAAGGATATGATTATGATTATTAGTTCAATCATAGTAATATTTATTACTTGTAAAAATAAATTTATACTATATTATTCTTATGTTTTTAAAATAGATAAATATGAAGAACCCAAAACAATAGAGTAATATTATTTAATTAAAATTATAATAGGATAAGATAATTATTGTATCTAATACTAATCAAACTATATTTAGTATCATTATACAAAATAACTTATTATATATTTATAATTATACAAGTATAATTATTATTATTCATGTACACGTACTGATCACATGTATAATGTCGGCCAAAGTATCTCCAAAAATAAGAAAATTAATGTGGAATATATTTTTAAAATAATATTGTTATTAATATATAGTTACATGTATAATAATACCATCTATAATTCTGATTATTTGTATAATAAGTATAATATTTAGTAAAATATTACAATTTATGCACTTGATATTTTTAATAATAGTTATAATTATTTTTTATTATGAATATTATAATATTTATGAATTATAATTAATATAATCAAAATAACTAATTATCAGCTTGTTAACTGTTATTGACAAATATTATTAATTGATATAAAATATATAAAAATTATAACATTTTATTTATTATCAATAAATTTATATAATTATAATTTAATGATAATACAACATAATGCATAAGTAATTTACTCATTTCGCTAATTTTATGCCTATTCAATCAAATAGTATTTCAATCACTGTTGTTTGTTTATAAAAAATATTTCATCTCTCTTTCGCTTTCCCTCTATATATGTGAGAAATTATCATTTTTATTTTATTGTAGAATTTAGTTTATTTTTTATTTCATCCTATGTTTCATTTTAGATTTTGTAAATTTATTTCTCTCACAAAATATCATTACAAAAAGTGGTGTGGTTTGCATAAGGTTGCAACCTTAAACAATCCAATTAAAACGCACCTCCATAACATGTAATTTTGGAGTAAAAAATTCTTAGAATTATTTGAATATCTATGTTCATCACTAATTATAAAATTTTAAACTCCAAAATGATTCAAATCAAGTAGATCTACAAACATATGAGAATATTGAAAAATGGATGGTCCAGATAATGTGTTGCAAGGAGCTCCTCTTCTCTTACGACTAGAACAAGCAATACCTATCTTGACAGCCAAGAGGAAGTAGCTCTAATATTACATCTAAAAAATATATTGATTATATATATAAAAATATTTATATTATATATATTGTATATTTTTTTTATATATAATATAAATATCATATATTATATTATATTTATTTTATCAATTTATATTTGTATTATATATAATATATATTTATATTATCATATAATATAGTAAATATATATTATATATAATACAAGTATATGTTGATAAAATATAAGTATATATTTTTAGCTATAATCTTTAAATATTGCATGTATAAATTTAATATATTTACAAAATATATTTAAGTACCAAACATATGTAATTTATTACACGGTGCTTTTTAACATGTTAAGAAACATGGTGAAAAAGGTTAGCAAATTTTATTGGGGAAATGTTTACGCACCAACCAAACATGACTAAGATCAAAGCAAATATTGAGATTTATTTGCTTTTTAAAATTTCAGTTTACCCTTTACTTCTCCAGTATACAAGACCATTAACGATCATTCAATATCGAAAATACCCTGAAACTTTTGATCGTACCCAGGAATCTATTTTCCCTTTCTTAAAAAAAAGAGAAAAAAAAAAAGAAAGGTAAAAAAGTGAAGAAATGAGAACGGGTATCTATTATCTAGGGTTCAATATAAAGAAAATCCTCCTACTTTGCCTGTCTTCCTCAATTCATCCAGGGTGATCAACACGTGAAACCTAGTCGTTTACAGTCGAGCATTCTCATTCACAAAACTAGGGTTGCCTTTGCAGATGTTATACTTCAAAGACACAATCTTCTATTTTTAAACCTATAAATTATATTGTTTTGAAAATTCCATTTACATAAATGAAAAATAAATGGGTATATCTATCTGATTTCAAGACCTTTCTTTTTCTTTTTTCTTTTTTTCCATATATAGGAGCATGCAGCCAAATGAAAGAATGACTTTACTTGAGACTTTAGATGACTTGTCGGATTCAGAATCAGCACCTTGTGTGACTAACAAAGAAAACATAATAATAATAATAATAATAATAATAATAATAATAATAATAATAATGAGTTTTTTTAGTTTTAGACAAAAAAAAAACAATTTTTTTTGCTTCCAAACCAGAAAATTAAAAGGAGCAAATAGTAAGAAAAATGATTATTTATATTATTTATAGGTTATTTTGTCCCTTGGAACAATTTCTTGGGTGGTTCTTTTGCTTCTAAAACCATGCAAATGAACAAAGACTGCTCCTTTCTAGCTTTTCCTATTGAAACTAGAAAGATGAATATTAAAAAACGTTTTTCTTCAAAACTTTCCTTGGGATCATTTCTTAATCAAAATTTAGGCCTTTTGAAGATAAGAGAGAGTGCAACAAAGGATCACAATGGGAACTTGGTCGAAATGAGCAATTTTCGTGCTTGGTTTTGGCCGGAAATAAGATCTCGAGAAGAAAAATGATGAAAATATCAGGAATGAACTTATTGTGACTTTTATTTTATTTTTTAATATGAATTTTTAGTTGTCCGAGTAATTATTTTTCTAATTATTTTGTTAAAAAATAATTATGCAAAAAACTATTTTGAAAATTTAGAATAATTACCTTCAATTTAATCTCATTAATTTGCCATTTTTATTGGACATAACTCATATTTTTTAAATTTATCCCCAATTTTGTTCTAATAGGGACTAGCTCTTAACCAGGTCGGTTCGATATAGCGAACACTGAGTAAAACACAACAATACCCTGGCCCTCTTCGTTACTCTCATTACTACTGGCCAATATTATTTACACTCTCATTGCTACTAGCCAATATTATTTGCACTTTGTAACTCCCTCAAGTGAATTAATATATGTCAAATTCTAAATTGTGTTGGATATTTCCCTAATCTTCAATATTAATTTATACAACAATTATATTAATTTTATTTTTTAAGATAATTATAAGTAGTAATACAATATACATAAAATCTATATTTTTTCTTATTTATAAAAATATTTTTTTAAGGGAATGTTGACTGATTTTTAAATTTTTTTCAACCAGACCAAACCAGCCCAGTTCCCATCTAACCGAACCCGCCGCCCATGGCCAGTTCACCGGGACGGTTCAATCTTGCCAACACTGTTATAAACTACCTCCGTTCAATCTCCTCTTTCCTTTTTTTTAATTCATATCCGGGGGGGTTCAGTTTTTCTTCCTTATGTAAGAAAACCTCTATCGCACTCGCCATATAAGTTTACCGCGAAGATACGATCATACGAAACGAAAAAAAAAAACAAAAAACAAAAAACAAAAAACAAAAAACAAAAAACAAACAAATGGGAAGTCCTCTCTCAATGCCCTAACTGATCTGTCACAGAGCCTCATCGCCACTCTCTTAACCCCTGTGTCCTCTCTCACAGACCCACAAGCGATAATCCATTTGCAAGCCTCATACAAAGTACTTCATCTTCTCCAAACAAGGACCCAATTGCAAGCATTCATCTTCTTCAACCAGGTAAGTTTTTATTTTGGCTGGTGTTCTTCATCATAGTGTAAGATTCTTCACCAAACAAGGTAGGGTTTCCCTTATAGCAACCCTCATACAAAATACCTCGTCTTCTTCAACAAGGGTAGTGGCTTTCTTCTTGTGATTTTCATGGTTTTTCCCTCTACATAGTGCTGATTTTTTTAATTACCAATTCAAACATTTTCTTCCCTCTAGATGGTGCTATTTTTTAATGGAGAAAGTTTATATACAGCCGAGGCTCTCAACAATCAAATTAGAGCCTGCCTCAAAAATTTCATTAGAAGAGGTTGTTTTGATGCTCAAATATCCTCAAATTGATCATCTCCACATCAAGTTGCATGGACATGAGAAAAAAAATGGATTTCAAGTTTTGGAAATGAGGCATTTTGTAACGCATTTTTGGACCGTCAATTTTCAAGATTTTCAAGTTTTCATTAGATCTGTCGATCAACTCTATTTCTGAAGCTTTAAACTTTATAAATAAAGATGAAAATATATTTTAAGTCTATCACAAAGATTTCCAGCATGGAAACCACATTTCTGGACACTATTTGAAGGTAGGCTCTAATTTGATTGTTTAGAGCCTAAGCTTTATACAAACTGCACCCTTTTTTAATTACCAATGCAAACATTATTTTTTCTATGATCTCCATGGAAATTTGTTGCCTTTTTTATTTTTGGCTTATTTTATTGAGTACAGGAGCACTAATTTCTGTAGAAAAATGCGCGGTGGGTTATTTTTGTTGTATTTTTTTTATTTATTTCTTGCTGGTTTTTGTGTTGTATAGGAGCACTATTTGTGCTCTATAATACCCATGCAAAAGCCTCTAGTAGAGAGGGAAAAACCCTTTTTAGTGGGGGAGAGCGACTCCCATTGTTTCTGCAATTTATGGAACAAAAGCTCATTCCAAGTTCGCCATTTTTTTGAAGCTCCATGCTCTGTTTATTAGCCATAGCTTTTGGCCTTATAGGTCAATTTCATGTCCTTTTGGTTATGAGTTTTATACCTTAAAACTTTCACTTTTGAAATTTTAGTGCAGTTGATCGTTTTCAGGAATATCAGTGAGATAAATGGGATTTTCGACTAATATTTCCATGTGTTTTCCTATTGGGTGACTGATGAGAAGATCCAGAGTCTGCCTGTTTGTTTGCTCTGCAAATTAGTGGCACAAAGAACTTTAGGTCTGATTAATCAAAAGAAACAAAAAGGGGACCTTTAGGTCCGGTGATCCCTGAGGAATCAAGAGCTCCAATATGTTTAAGATCTTTGATTTGTTTGTTCGATCATGTGTTTCTTTTACGAACATGGGGTATAGGTTGCGCACGACTCTGTAGACAATTTCTAGGGTTTTGGGATGACTTGGGAATTGAGGAGCAGTGATTTTGATTGCTTTTAGTGCTGATGTAATGATGCTGTATTGCGAGAATCTCTTATCTTTAATTTTTGAAGTTTAGGTCTATTCATTTCATTGGAAGAATCCAGAGGTTCATTTAGTTGTAGAATGTGTTAGATTTTAACTGCAATCGTTCTTTACAAATAATGACTAAAAGCTGTGACAGACTATAAACTTTTTATTTGTTCATTGACATGAAAATTTGAAGCAATGAAGGTAAATTTCCATGTCCTCAGTTTATGATTTTTTACCTTTTCTGAAGTCTTGCTGCTTTTTAAAGTTGTTGGAATCAGCTATATGGTTTTCCTCAGAGAGGATCGGTGGTTTCTTGTATGTGTATTGCATTCTTTAGCAAACTATGTTTTAAAGGGGATTAGATTTTATGAAATTGGCGGAGGTTGACTCAAATAGAATAAATAATATACTTCCACGGCTACAATATTCATGTGTATGAGTGATTGAGGTACTCTGTTGAGAGCAACTGTTCTTTTTAGTAGTAAGCCAATGGTGGCATTGCGTTTCTATGTATTTTTTACCTATCTCATTGGGGCAATTAAGATCTTCATTATAGAATATAATGTAACATGAAAGATAAATATATGTTTCAACAAAAAAGCATGAAAGAGAAATGTAGGGAGATTTACCTTGATAACAATGATATCCTTTTGTTTGTCTAGCTATATCCCTAATGCGATATTGTGTATCCTTAGAAGCCAATTTTTCTAAAATTTTTCTCATATGTTAGAAGGCCATGACATAAACAAGTATGCTACAGGGACAATCTAGTGTAATTTGATCATATAGTCAAATGTTTGGAGGAAGCAACATAGAGAAGAGTTGCATCATTGAAGAATCACATGTCTATTATGATTTGCCTTGGAACCTTCATTGATGTGTGCGGGAATTCCACTAAACAGGAGAATCTCTATTCTAGGGTTTAGCTGTGATTTGATAATTCTCGACTAGGAGTCATATATGTTCATTTGTAGGATTTGTTCTCTAGGAAACCCATCGTTAGTGTGTGAGGACCAACTGATTGATGGATTGGTTTATATGATGAGCAGAAATCGTGAATGTTTGGAAGCAAATGCTTTCCTTCAATTCTTTTAATTAGTACTGTTGTCAAATTTGAGACATTTCGTTAAATATTTCAAATTTTCTAGACACCATTTTTTATTTGATAATATATCATGGAAAAGTTATTTGAAAAGGGATGCTGAACTTAGTTGGCATGATTCTTGTCAATAATGATGGTTGCCATTGTTGTTAGATGCCGGGAAACCTTTATTTCAATGCATATGTAATCATGACTTACACCTTATATCATATCCCACCATTATTTTATTTAATTTTATACTGATTTTTATGTTATTAGATGGTCTACCTCTAAATTTATCAGTTTGCGAATTTCAATTACTTGGGTAATAATTGTCATAAGCTACATTGGTTTAGTCTTGACTCCATGCCTTGCTACCTGTTAGCATTATCAACGACACTAATCCTTGCACGAGAATCTTGACTACATACCCTGCTAGCTGTTAGCATTACATATGATTTCTTGTGAGAGTCAAGTTGGATTTTTCCAATGTAAGGAAAAGTGAAATTTTAGTTGAAGAACTTTAAAAATATTTCGAGGGGAGAATTCATAGGTGAGTTGATAAACCGTTTTCCTACCTCTTCCAATCATGCATATGAGGCACTTGATAGGGTGGTTTAGGTAGTCAGCCAAATGAGCACCACTACCCCTAGCTTTGCTTCTGCCGCTACCTCTACTTCTATCCCTACCCCTAGTGTAGAGGGTGAATGTATGAGGGCCTTATCATCAGAACGGGGATGATGTTACTATAGAGCTCTGCGACGGAATTACTAATGCAATGTGGGAACGATATCAAAATAGGGTTTAGGTTGTAGTAGTTGTGATGGTGTTACGTCCTTCATATTTTTTTTTTATTGTACTTGTACCTCTGTTATGCATTTCAAGATTGGATATGGACATCATGCGTTAAAGATGTATTCATGCATTGGAACGGAAAAACTATTGCTAAATTTAGTACTACAAATACTTTTTCAGTAATCTTACAATATAGAGAGATTAAACAAAAAAAAAAAATGCACGGATTAGTTAACCAAGTTTTGATGTTGGTATAATTTAATAAAGTGATCCAAACTATCCATTTTGTTTAAACATAATATAGATTGAATGTTCTAAAAAAGTCATCTTAATTGGATGGACGTCGATATCCAATCATGTATATTGCAATAGAACGGTTAAAAGTAGGTATTAATCGAGATTATGGAAATAGTTTACCTATGGGTTACAAACATAAGAAACTGGGTACACAGGAATTCCAGATGTGAACCAAACATGCGAAAAAACCGGATTGGAAAATTCTTGCACAGGGAATTGTTTACATATGAAAACTGTTTTACATATGGAAATTGTTACTCATGAACCAAATTATTAAAATATATTTTAATTGTATTTAATATATTTACAAAATATATTTAAATGCCAAACAAGTTGCCAAACATATGTAATTCATTACATAATGCTTTTTAAATGTGTTAACAAACATGGTGAAAAGAAAGTTTGCAAAAGTTTTTCCTGCAAAGTGTTTATATATCTAAATATTTTTCCTGAGGAAATATTTACGAAATATTTACGCACCAACCAAACGTGCCCTTAGGGTGTGGTTAGTATAAGGTTGAGTCCCTAAACAAATTATGTGTACTCATCTTCATAGCAAGTGGCAATATGAAACTTTAATGATATTTAGGTAAAGTGAAGGTGGAGGGAGGGAGTAGGAGCATTTGGACTTGAAGAACAGTCGATTCGAATTTGGGCTTATTCACATTGTTTTTCACTAAGGATGTTTCATAGAGGAGGAGGACGTGGGCGTGGACGTGGTGGGTTTGGTGGGGGAGGCAGAGGTTTTGGACAAGGAGGAGGAGGAGGAGGAGGAGGAGGATTTAGAGATGTGCCAGATGACTATTTTGAGGTCTTTCCGGTAAGCAAATTTTTCCCCACGTTTTTTTTCTCTGAAACAAGCTAATTGTACTATGGCCACTATAATTCCCTTTCTTTTTTTAACAAGTTTAGATTAAGGAAAAAGATTCCTTTATTTTTAATGTTGTTTTTGGATTGTTTATTATACACTATTGTACATGATGAGCACAGGGTATGATATTTATTAAGAAACTATGTTTTAGGGCCATAGCTTTATAAATATCGCTAGAAAATACAGTTTTGGTGCAGGAGAATTTGCCAATCAATATCTCGACTTTGATAGTCATGTATCCCAAGAAGGGATTTGAATCTCTAAATATGGTCTATCTTGTAACACACACTATCATTTCATGCATTCACAACTCCAGATTTGCACCATTTTTGGATCTTCAATTTGCATGGTCAATGGTGGAGGTAGATTTTCAGGCCATCGCAATGGTTTTAGGTGCCAAAACTACATTTTCTGGCAGGGTTTTGAGGTGTTGCTTGACGAAATATCATAAAGCCACAACCCTAAAAATCTCTCCACATTTATACTTGTTTATGATGATTAGCATTGTCCTAGCTTTGGAGCTTGGTTTGTCATCAACGTTAATAAAACACTGGACACTGTTACAAGTGTTAGTGTTGGCATCTAGTGTGTGTCTCAAGTGTCTAGTACTTTGGGCAAAAGTCAGTGCAGCCTAACACATCCGTACAAGTGTTTCTATAAAAAGTTTCACACATGCACATACACACATATAACCTGAACAATTTTTTTAGAAAAAAGAAAATATAAAAGCTTGAAACGCAAAATTCAACATTATTTTGTCAAAGAAAATTTAAAATTATTTCTTATATTATTTTCGTATGTTTCAAAGTAGTACATCCTATAGAATTTTAGTGGCTATTAATAATAAACTATTTGATTTTATGTACTAGCAGTCATTTGCTAGAGTGCTCATACACTAGTTATTGGAAAACAAATAAATGGAGCTATGAAAATTGTTATATTGATATTCATTTATTATTTGAAATTTTCTTAATTTTATCTAAACTACATTATTAAGCCAGAGTTAAGGGGTGGACATGTGGTGAAAGAATAAGAAGAGAGGTCAGGTATCCTAGACATTTTAGGAGTTTAGGCCAAATTTTGGAGCATAGGCCAAATTTTAAAACTTACTCCCTATTTCTATGGTTGAGAAGACACAAAATAATATTTAAAAATAGCCACGTATGGCCCAAGTGATAGAGAGAAGAGAGATCTACATTATCCAATTTAGAAGATAGAGTTTAGGATTTAGAGATTTCATGTACTCTTTATCTTCTCCTAAATTTATTCCTGCCTATTAAATGAGACTAAATATATATTAAATTCCTAAATTTTGCAGTTAATTAAATCATGGAGTGTATACCAAGTCTCCTATCATATGTTTTAGAAAATATACATCCCAATGTAATAAAGAGGAAAGAGAAGATACAAAAATAGAAGTTAAACTGTTACGTACCGCTTAAGTAAGGAAAAACATTAAAAAATCATGGCTCAAGCTTAAGCATAGGCGTGCTAGCTTATAGACGTAGATAGATTTTAAGAAGGTGAGAAAAAGATGGAGAAAGAGATATGTGGAGATTCTTTAGGGCAATTTTTAGGGGGAGAGAAAGGAGGGAATACGTAAGAGAGAGAGGAAGAGGAAGAGGAAGAGGTTGTATGAACGATATTAAGATATGTGAAAAAAAGATGGGGGGAAAAATATGTAGGAGTGATTTTAGGGTAGGGAAGAGAGAAGAAGAAGAGAGACAGAGAAAGACGTGAGAGATATGATTGAGAGAGAGGCACAAAGGAATATATTTTTGAGGTATCTTTTCTAAAAGATATATAATAAGAAATAAATATACATGGAGACGGAAAACTACGTGGATAAAGAGGTAAGAGAGAAGAAGATAAGAGAGAAATAGATAAAGACGTGATAAAGATATGATTGAGATAGAGGCACAGAGGAATATATTTTGAAATATCCTTTCTAAAAGGATACAATAAGAAAGATATATACATGGAGATAGGATAATAAATGGAGAAAGAGAGGGATATACGCAAGTAAGAGAGAGGGAGAGGCTGTCGACCTACTCTCTCCTTCCCAAAACCTATGAAAACTCTATTGACTCTTCTTAGATCCCATAATTTCTCATTCCTTGCGTTTTCTGCTTTTGAGGTCTGTTCTCTCTCGATTTTTTGTTGGCGTCATACTTCATGGTTTAGCATAGTTATTGTTCATATAATTAGATATAGTTGTGTTTGTTGCAAAAATTATTTGACTTTTATTTATTATAGCTGTGTGTTTAATCTTCTTGCCATTGTGTCTAATCTTCTTGCCATTGTGTCACTCATGTTTGCTATTTTTTTTATCGATGATGTTATAATGTTTGTTCATAGACTATTTCAAATCAGCTTATCCAATTCTTGGTGAAGCTTTTCCTAGAGCAACTATTGTGCTTCTTTTGATGGTTGTGTTGTGTTTCTTTGGGGTTTAAACATTGTAGCATGAATTGTGTTTCATTGTGTGTTTTTTTTTTTGAAATAGTATCTATTTGGGTGTGTTTCAGATATATATATATATATATATATATATATATTTTTTTTTCATGAGTTGCTAGGATGTGGGGTTGAGTCAGTTATGGGTAGTAGGTAGAGTTATATAATATCGTAGTAATATTCAAACAATTATTCAATAATTGTGATAGATAAATATTATGATAATATTATTTCCATATTTATCATAAGAATATTATACTGCAACAATTATAATATAAAAAATATAATAATAAGTTAATACTAATATAATATTATTGTTTAGATAATATATTGTATGTTTTCATAATTATAACTTCGTATTTGCTTTACAAAAATATAATAATGGAATTTTAATTTTTTAAAATGATTATCAATTCCATTACACATGCAAAGCACATGGAATGTACTAGTTAGTATAAAATGTTGGATATATATGTCAAAAAGGCATTGGGAAGCTTGATGGTAGATTGGTTGGTCATAGTGCAAGAGGTTTTATGTTCAAGTCCCATGTGGGACAGATGAACTTTATTTCTTAAATTCAACCACATGTAAGGGCCTGTCACCTGCCAACACTTTTAACAAATGTATCAAACATGGTGTCCTAGTGCCTCAACAGGGCAGACACGTGGACAGTGTGTTTGCCATGTGTTTGGGAGTGCTGGCATGCAACACCAAGGCAAAAAGCAAGTGTTAGAGTAGCACTATTGTTCACATTGTGATCTTGATGGAGTTCCCATTTAAAGTAATGCATGTTTAGCAGTGTCACAGAAAAATGAAATAGATACCATGTCCTACTTGCTTTGTGCTCTGATTTTTCAAAATATATTCTTATGTACTGTAGAACACAGTATGAATTATTTAACAAAGAATGGTAGGTGACTAGGGAAACTGCAGAGAGTGGAAGAGTTCCCAAATAGAAAGGATGCGACTGCAGAGGAGATGGACCTCATTTGTAGGAGAAGAGTGCTACAATCATTTTATAGTTCCTCTTCTTACCTCATTGAAAGTAGTGCACCAAAATCAGGTAAATTAGTTCATTCTGTGGTTTTACTTTTTTATTTTTGTGAAGGAAATGGGAAAGACTTGTTTTCTATATATTTTATTTAAATACTTGGGTTTTGTCAAGGTTTACATAAGAGTTTGAGGTAGTTGATTGAGAATTTTTGAAATCACGCACATTCTTAATGATAGTATATATTTATGACTGCTATTTTGCTAGAATTAGTTCTTTTTTTTTATTTTAATGCACTTTGAGCTTAGTTTATGTTGAGCATTTCTTTTTAGCTGTTAAAAGACCTCTCGAAATTATGGATCACAAAAAAAAGAAAAAAGAAAAAAAAAAAGAGCTCTGGAAATTGGCCAAAATAATTTCTGTAAGTAAATGAGCTGATTTATTTAATTAAAATTCTTATCAATTTTTAGTCTTCTAATAAAATGGAAGTTAGATTATGAACCATATGAAGTCTGACAAAGAAGTAGCTAAGCGGTATGAATGGTTTGCGACTCCCATTACGCTTGCGCTGGTCATTGTAGGTATAGGGTGGATGGTAGCTAATGCAGCACAATGTTTTATCTCAGTTGGACAAAAACTAAATCATCATCACCACGAATCACAAACATAGGTGTCATCTGATGTTGAACAGAACTTATACCAATTTAACAAGGCTACCCAAGAGGAAATGCCAATAAATGCTAGATCAATAATATTTATAGTAGATATTTGTGCTGCTGTCAAATGTCCCTCTAACAGTAAGAAGTTCGAGTCACTGATCGATGAAATCATCCTAACTCAACCAGTCCTATATAAACCAGAAACCACTATTGCACTCCTCCCAAAAGACCAATAAAATTTATCACTATCCAATCAATTACCATGAGGAATGCCATAATGAACAAAGATAGTACAAAGATTTCACCTTGTTTATATTGGATAAAGACGAAATAGGCTAAAATGAAGTCTCTTTGGGCATGTCTTTCCCAAATTTAGACTGGATTTGTGTAGGCTTATTTACTCAAGACCTGCCATCAACTATACCCTTCTATAGCAAAACCATAAGAATGTCTACTCTACTACTGATTACATATTTTGATCAATTAAATATTGACATAAAATTTTCTTCTTTCCTTTTGTTAATTGCCGGAATTTTTACTTACAATTTCAAAAGCAAATATGAATAAAAAACAACAAATAAAATTAGTAAAATTGGGAAGACTTAGTGAACTTTTGCTTAGGGTTACCCCCTTAGGACTTCGCATGCCCCACATGCGATTACCTGATTGATGGCACATTTGATTATTAAACCCTGTTGAATCCACCAATCTGAACTGGGAAGCACCTCTGGAACACCCTAATCGGAAATTTATGGGGTTGAGAGCATGGGTCACAATTAGGGTTTCTAAGACCCTTTTAAACCTTGGGGCATGTCATTGAGTGGCACCTCCCCTTACCTAAGTCTAGGGTTGGGCATGCCCTCACTTTCTCTCTTGAGAAGTGCATGCCAACCCAATATCCTTATGGTGGGGGGTGCCGGGGGGTGGCGTGCCATATATATATATATAGAGGAAAACACTACAAAACACCTATAGGTGAAGTTCTACAGTACTTCACTTACGACTTTATCACCGTTCAAAGTTTATAACACGATCACAGATGTCTGATAGTGTTTGAATTTTAATATTTATTTTACGAATCATAATGAACTAAAATTTTGTAGAGGTGTGCACCTTAATGAGGTGCACATGAATAAAATATAAAACAAATAACTTGAATGATAAAATTATGTAAAATACCCCTATAAAGTTTCAGGGGTAATTTTGTCATTTTTTATTTTGACTATTATTTTTTTTAATATTTTATTTTGGTACGACTTAGTCATATGTACACACGTCCCAAATTTTAGATAAATCTGATTAGTACAAAAATTATAAAACTTCAAATACTACCGAAATTTTGCTTGTATATACCCAATACTATTGCGCACCATATAAAAATATAAAAAAAATATTTTCAATAATCTAAAATGACCAAATTACCCCCATCATTTTTCAGGGGTATTTTGGTCATTTTATACTTTGGAAAATATTTTTTATATATTTTTTAATTTTGCCCCCTATTTTTTAGTACACAGGTCGAAAATTTCATTATGATCTGATTTTTAGAAAAAAATATTAAAATTTATATAGTGATTTGCATTGTGAACCACATGATGAAGATTTGACGGCTCCCATTCCACCTATATTACTGTTTATATAGCTTCCCAGCTATTATTAGCTTTTTCCTATATATATATATATATATATATATATAGAGAGAGAGAGAGAGACTACAGT